CATCTCACTGGAGTGTGAGGTTAAACCGGCTGGAGAGTTTTTGCACTCTTTTGCGATTGGTTAAGTTTCAGTCTTTCAACTTCCCATCCCCCTTTCTTTTCTCACATAACACATTCATCTTCTCTTTGCTTAGGATACAACACATGCAGGGTCAAGCAGTGTAGAAGTGGCTCCAGGGGGCCCGAAGCCCCTGTTTGTATAACTTACATAAAAGTCAGAATGACGTCATGACCTATATCGTATGTCATCTTCACTTACAGGAGCATGATGATTTCAAGTTGATACAAGTACATTTTAGAATGTGTATACAGCAGGGCATTAAGTTAATCTCAAAGTAAGTAAACCTAATCTAAAAGGCTGAAATAAAAGGTAAACCCAGAAACATACTTAAAGTTTAGTTCAGTTCAGTTCAGTTGAACAGAAAATTAGCAAGAGCTGTACCAAAAAGATAGCTAAAAAAATCAATCAAAAGTCAAGGTCAGTTAGGTCAGAGGAAAAAACAACAACATTTACTTATGTATATTGAATATATAATAATGTTTTAATTCATTATACAAGCTGGCCAAAAAAAAGCTACTTTTCTCCCTAGTGCTTAGTACATTTCTTTCACAACAACACAACCCTGGCACGTCTCTCTCGTGTGTAGTTCAAGACATGAACACACCCTACTGTCAGTGAGAGCTTGTTGTCTGTCAACAACCACCCTCCTGCTTCCTGGTTATGAGACAGCAGTGTTGTCCACTCTGACTAAGTAAACCACAGCAACAAACCAAAAGGGTTTCCCAAGGTGACTGCAAGTATGTTTGCCGTTTCTTCCCCCTAATATACATGAATTTTGGGAAGGCCACCTCCTCTTTATGTTCCGTTAGGTCACAAATGAAACTAAAGTGACAGATCAGCAGCTCTCCATCTGCTGTCGTTCCTGGTAGACTTGTTTTGGTTCTCAGCATGTGGAAATTTACTGGACTTCAGATTTCTATACAGTGATTAACTTTTATGGTTAGCCTTTGCTTTTGGGGCATTGAACACTATGTACCTCTGACTAATAAAAACAAAGCATAAACTTTTATGGCCTCCGTGGCAGGTATTTACTTATCGTCTTTTTATTTGTCAACTCTCAGGTGAAGAGGCAAAATTGAAATGTAATTAAACTCTAACATCATGGAAATTTTGGCAAATTCTTTATTTTCTGTAATTTTCTACAGACTTGAAAAACATTTTAAAACAAGGACAAAAAGGTTGTTGGCACAAAATGATGCAAATACAAATCATAATAATAATACATATAATCACAATGACTCATCTGATAACTGAAGTAACCCGGACATTGAACTGAAGAAAAAAAAATGCTGATGACTGATAAAGATTTGTGTTTTTTTTTCACTTTTGCAGTTTGAGTAGGTTCTGATGTCATTACTAGATCACCAGTGACTAGCAATGACGAGTATTCTAGTCGTTTTTGTTTTAGTTTCAACATTTTCAAAAACAAGGAACCATAAGAGCTCTTTCTATTTTAATTTACAGCACAGAAACTAACAATAGAAGAAAGAAAGAAAAAAGAAAGAAAGAAAGAAAGAAAGAAAGAAAGAAAGAAACAAAGAAAGAAAGAAAAGTAGAAAACTGTTTTAGTGTTTGACACCTGACACCGCGTGCCTGCGTACGTGCGTTACGCCTGTACAAAAATGTCCCGCCTTTCCGCGTGCGTGTGCGCGAGCTCTGTTGTGCATTGCTCCGCGCTGGTTGGTTTGCGTGGTTACGTCAGCAAATGTGGCAGGGCGCCAGGAGGCGGGCCGTGACGTCAGTTGCTTCTCATTCACAAGCACGAGTGGTATATAAAAGCTTCCACGGCGCTCAGGGACAGAATACTGTCGCGGTGAAATATTGCTGTTCTAAAAGTTTCTAAAAGAATAGCAACTGACGGATACAACTTGAAAGACAAGGAACGGGACCTTCGTCGAAAGTCTTAAAATTAACTTTTCGTTTTCTTTTACGACTTTGTTATTATTTCTCACTTGAAGCCGAACAAAGGACTCTCAAAACTTCTCTACAACACTCGATCCTGTTCACGAGCCACATCCGCTTTATGTATTTGGATTTACGACTTCTCTGCCGCCGTACTACTATGGTCATAATGGAGGTTCCCACCATCGACTGTATGTCCCTGCGATGCCTGATGGAGGGGGCCGTCCCGAGCTGCCTGCTGCTGGACTGCCGTTCCTTCCTCTCCTTTAACTCGTCCCATATCTCGGGCTCCACCAACGTGCGCTTTAGTACCATCGTGCGCCGGAGAGCCAGAGGCGGTCTGGGTCTGGAACACATCGTCCCCAACGAGGACACCAGGAACAGGCTCCACTCCGGAGAATACCAGTCTGTAGTACTGTTGGACGACCGCAGTCTAGACCTAAGTCATGCCAAGAAAGACGGGACCTTGATGCTGGCTGTCACGGCTCTGTGTCGCCACTCCTGTGTCGCCAATGTTTTGATTCTTAAAGGTCAGTTCTAAGTGTTTCTTTACGGTCCGTAGTAGCCCCATACGATTGTTACACCGTTTCCTAACGACGGGGCAACACATGCAGATTACAGCTGTCACCGTACCAGCTGGTGCCACGAGTAAACAATGGTCCAAAATAGCCACATGAGCAGTTGTCACCTATATTTAAATGTAGAAGTGCCTCTGTGATGTTATCTGACCTTGCTCCTTATTTTCCTTGTCTTTATTTAGGTGGCTTTGAAAGATTTTCCACAGAGTATCCAGAGATGTGCACCAAACCCAGCCCCCCTCAGGGACTCAGTTTGCCCCTGAGCTCCAGCATTCAGAGTGCAGACCCAAGCTGCAGTCCATGCAACACACCCCTTTATGACCAGGTATGTGTGTTAATTATGAGCATGGGATGTAATATTGAAATGTAATATTTTGTATCCTGCTGTTGAGGTTGACCAATATTTTTATTTCCTTTCTCCAGGGAGGTCCTGTGGAAATCTTGCCTTTCCTGTACCTTGGCAGTGCTTACCATGCGTCCAGAAAAGACATGCTGGACATGCTTGGGATCACTGCTTTAATCAATGTCTCAGCCAACTGCCCCAACCATTTTGAGGACTCCTTCCTTTACAAGAGTATCCCCGTCGAGGACAACCACAAGGCCGATATCAGTTCCTGGTTTAACGAGGCAATAGAGTTTATTGGTGAGCACATATCCACTGCTTTTACACCTCTCACAGTCAACTGCCACATTTGAGCACCAATCACAGCTGCTGCCTCCTGAAGCCAGTTGGTGGTAGCCTGCAAACATTCTCAGTTCCCCCTCCCCCTCTGCTTCCCCTCACTCATTGGCTCCCAGATTTAAAATTTAAAACATTCCCTCCAAAACGGCACAGCTGTCTCAGCACAAGGCTCCCTGCTTCCACCACTGTGGTGGTTACATCATCGCCACCCCCTGATGCTTGGATAAAGGGGGTGCCCTCTATTAATGAATTGTCAGGCTGTGGCCCCCAAACTAGTTTTGTTATGGACAGGATGGCGGGGCTTGAATAGCTCCCCCCTCCCTCCACGCCGCTTTTTGTTCTGTTTGAACAAAAGGCAATTTCTCCTCACTCACTGTCGCCTTCCTCCCAGATCAATACCCCCAGCAGGGGTCTGTTCCCCTCTTTTGTCTAATCTGAGTGTCTCTGTGGGGAATAACTCCCCCCAAGCTCACACCCTGCACCCCTATTAACAGTGTTCCTGTGTTTATAATGAGCACTGTTGAATTTAAATAGTAACTGAAAGTGTTGCAGAAGCGTCTGTTGGTGGTTTCCTGTGACAGTTAAAACCTTGTATCTAGATCTTGTCTCCTGTGCAACACACTAACCCAACGCTGTCTTCCTTTATCTACAGACTCGGTGAGAAATAAAGGAGGTCGCGTGTTCGTGCACTGTCAAGCAGGCATCTCCCGCTCCGCCACCATTTGCCTTGCCTACCTGATGCGCACCAACCGCGTAAAGCTGGACGAGGCCTTCGAGTTTGTCAAACAGCGCCGCAGCATCATTTCCCCCAACTTCAGCTTCATGGGTCAGCTGCTTCAGTTTGAATCCCAGGTCCTGGCCACGTCCACGTGTTCGTCAGAGGCGAGCAGTCCAGCCATTGGCAACAGCAGCACAGTCTTCAACTTCCCCGTCTCCATCCCCGTACACACATCAGCCGGCCAGCTCTCATTCCTCCACAGTCCCATCACCACCTCCCCCAGCTGTTGAGGCGTTGGTTGGTTTCTCAGACTGTGTGTTCGAACTTGTACCGCAACACATGCCTGACTGTAGAGAGAGCTGTGTGTGTGTAGTTTATGGTGATACTGGTCTATCACCAGGACGACTGTGAACTTGTGACCAGGTTCGGCAAATCTAACCTGAATTTGCCGAGTGCATCTGTGTAGGTCAAGGTCTCCACTTCAAGGGGAGATCTGATAACTACCGTAAGCAGTATTGACCCTGACTCTCCCCGGCCCCCAATGTGAATGGCAAACACAATTCCAAAATCGGGGTGACTTGGAATTTGGTATCAATGACCGTTAAATTAATCCCTTAACGGGGGATAATATAAGTACCTGAATATTTTCTATTCAAATGTTTCTCAAAGGAAGGAATCTGCTCTTGATAATCACATTCATGTTGTAAAACTAAACAAACCTACGGAAGTCTCAGGAATGTTGATACACCCTCTCACTTGCCCGGTTGTCTTTCTGCCCTAGCTAAAGAAAGCAATTCAAAGCTCCTTGACGTTTTAACGAACAATGAATGTAGCGCCCCCTTCGTGTGCAGTTTGAGAGCTGCGTGCCTTAAAAGAAATCATGACAAAGCTTGACTATCCTGACACATTGGGGAAATCAACCATTGAATACCTCATGTTTATGTACTGTGTACTGTTCCACTGAGGCTGACAGCACCCCAAAAACTAAGAACAGGGGGTCGTGTAGTCCTCAGTGTCTGGATTCTGACATATTTATTGAACTAAAGTAATATATATCTTTATCATATCTATTTTTTCACATGTCTGTTGAACTTTGTTTTGTTTTTTTATACCATGCAATAAATCTCTTGACTTTGTACTTCAGTGTCTGCTTGATTTGTTTTTGCTTTCTATTTGGCCGTGTTATTTTATCACAGTCACTACAGTAACAGAGCCAGTATTGTGGCAGTGTTGGTGAATGATTTATCATTATTGTACAAGGATTTGAAAGATACTTACACTTCTTATTTTCATTGCACAAATACTTCTCTGACTAAAGAATTCAGTAAAATTAAATTGAACTATTTAGGGCACCTCTCTGTCTATCCTCCCATGCAGTGGAATCCTATTATACATAAACACAGCGTTTTGCACACTTAAGAAGCGTGATGTCACTGCATTGATCTTTGTTGGGACCACACTCCCTATCTATGAAGCCATTTGAGAGCAGGGTAACAGCAGGAGGCTTAAAGAATCAGCCAATGATCCCTCCTTCTGTGGCCACAATAGGAGCAGCTGCAAGGCGTTTGGGAAAAGTGTGACAACTAAAGAGCTTTCGGGGCTCAGTCAAGCACCAGCCTTGTGTTCATCTGACACAAACCAATGGGGAGGTTGGGAATGACACGGCCATGAAAGGGAAAGGAATATGTTTAGGTTTCAAATTAGCTCAAATCATTGGCTGACTGTGGTGGCTGTGACAGTGGAAAAAAAATTAGACGTCTCCAGACGTCTCCAACTCACCGTGTGACAGTGGAAAAAAAAATAAAAAATAAGCCAAAGACGTCTCCAGACGTCTCCAACTCACCAAACAGAAACCGATAGCAATAGTAAAATTTAAAAAGACTGCATTTTCAACAATATCGTTTGTTTACCTCAACTCCTCGTCTAACAAACAGAGACTTTGGTTAAAAACAATAGCAACTGTTCTGCCCCTGATAAAAACCACCTTCATTACCTCACAGGCTTCTTCAGACGAGCTGTGGGTTTGGTGACATATGTGCGACCCCAACCCCCTCCGGCCCACCAGCCTTTGTGTCTTTAGATTTCCTGTTGTCAGGAAGGAGGCTGGCAAGAGTGTGTGCTGTCTGTGGGAGTGTGTGTGAAAAAGTCGTTAAGCATCTTTTATAATCTGAAAAGGGATGCTATGGGGGGTGGAAGGGTGTGTATGTGTGTGTGGGGGGTGATCATTTGCCAAGTCTGTGACATAATTTGTTTGTGTGTGTGTGTGTGTGAGACAGACAACACACACTCAGGATGACACTGGATCCTGTGGAAACAAAGGTCAAACTTTTACAATCTGTAGGTTGTTGTTCCATCCTCACATTTGCTTTCAGTGTTTGTGAGAGCACGGAAACAGTTGTGGGTTTTTTTTTTGTGGCAGTTTCAGTCTGTTGTCAAGTGGTTTTTCCAATGAGGTTACCAAGCTCTAAAGCCATTTTAATTGACACAAATTAAAAAAGAAACAAACTGTGTAGAATTATATTTGTTCCTGACAAACTATACAATATTTTGATTGAAAACAAAAACACACACACGCAAAAAAAAAAACATTTTTATTTCTTCACAGTGGCTCAAAAAAAGAACACATTGAAATTGCCTTTCTGTCCCTATTAGAAATAACCCTGCTCCCCAAATGGGCCCGCCCCAGACTTTGGGAACCCTTGTTCTAATTTTAAGACAGTCACTTTGACAACTATAATGTAACTAACAACTTACACTAATAACTTTACATTTTCAAATGAGGACAATGTAGCTTAATGTTTTGGTGAGAACAGAAGGGAGACATTTTCCCATCGGCTCATCCTCCAGTCATTATAGGTTCACCTTTGTCTGTCAGTGAAGGGAAGTATGTTGTTTTCTTTTATCAAACTAAAACTAATGTCAGAAACCTTTAAAAAAAACCCTGTCTTGTTTCAGGTTCATGAAAGTCATATGATGTGTAAATTTCACGGAATTCTTGGCATTTTAGGTAAAACATATTTCCAATTATTTTCAACTTGCAAGATAGATTATTTCAAATAAAATCACCAACGATCCAAGGATGCTCACCCTGTGTGTCCAGGAACAGGAACAGGAACACACACAGCTCTGACATCCTGTGTGAAATGGCAACGTAGCCGCTCTGATTACAGGAGGGGGGCCGAGTAATTACAGCCCTCACACCTAAAAGGTACCTTGAAAATGGATTAGTCTCTCGCTCCTTTTCACAAACACAGACTCTTGCTTCTGTTCTCACAATTACAGTGTACTGGTGGTGAGGTGAGAGAATGGGAGCCACATGTTGATGTCACTGCAGAATACTCACCTGTAGTGTACCTCTAAGAGGATTAAGAGCTGTGACTAACTTTGGAATATCCTGTCGTCATAGAACAGGAGACGAGTAACACACACAAGTCTGAAACAGGAAAATTAAATTTTACTTTTAAAGAAGCTTATTGGCAAAACCGAAAACTGGCTAAAAATCCAGGTATGAAAAAACTAAATGAAAGTTTTCCACTAGATTTATTAGTTTTTTTAACTACTGCTGTCCATGGAACCACCTGGTTTTCTGAATTCATGGCATTCCAGAACAAGTCCTGATTACAAACTCTGCTGACGATGGTCTGCTGTTCCGTGAGAGCAGTCGAGATAAGGCTAGATCTGTGACATGATAACCGAAGATTTGAACAACACAAGGAATGTCAGGATGTTACGTATACGGCTGCGGTGAAGTGGCCCTTCCTCCTCAGCAGGGCTCCATTTCCTTTAACAACCCTGTCCGGAATGTCAGATGAAGGTAAAGAAAGAAATAGCAGTCAACGTATGGCAGAGTTTGCGGCCTTTGTAGTATTCATCTATGCTTTCACACATTCCACAGTCTATCAGTCCACATATGGAAGGGTATTTTCCTCCTTTTCACCTTCCAGAGTTGTCAGAATTGTTTGAAGTTCACACCAAGGATGAATGGTGTGAGTAATGTTAATAAATGTATGTAAATGAAAATTTGCAACAGATAAAACGTTCATTCTGGGATTCTTGTGAAAACAAATGTTTCATGAATTTATGCCACCTACAGATTGGTGTGAACTAACTCTGTTTTTCCCTCATTTTGGCAGATGTTACTAATACTCTTGTGCATTCTATAGTCTGAAAAAAAAGGGTATTTCTTGGAGTGTCTTAGGAGACTAGAAACATTTTAAAACCTGAATCACCAGCGTAAAAACTCAACACTAAACAGTGAATTTCTTACACTGTGTTTTGATTATAATTGTGTACAACAATCTGTCTCTGCTGTGTTAAGGCTTGGCTGAGCTAAAGCTTTGGGATTTAAAGGAAGCTTTCTTTTCTGGATCCATTACTACCACCTATTGGGCATAGTAGTCGGTTGGTAAATATCCCATTCTTTTGCTAAAGAAACCCAAACACAAAACAGACACATATATTTCCAGAGACCCACTAACAACAACGGAGGGGGTTCAGTTTTATTACAGGTTTGCAGGTTTTTTTTTTACACGTATCCTTTCTGGTGCTTCATCCACCTCAGTGACTGTAAACACAGCCTGTATTTTTCCACTCAGTGAAGCTGCAAGGTTGTGTTCGCAAGCAGAAATCAGATCCTGTGTGGAGTATTTATGGAATGTCTGGCATCTTCTCTCCAACACTGACTGCACTGTGATGGACTCATGATGTCACTGCCAAAGAGAATATATATGAGCGGACAGGAATCCCAAAAGCTAAAAGCAGATGTCTGCCTGTCTTATTATAAACACAATCTATGGTTATTGTTTCGAGACTATTCCTTCAACTACGTGGAGTGTATGGAGCAGGGAATGGAAACTTTTTTCTTCTTTGAATTTTTTTTCAGTGAACTGTGACCTGTAAAGGCCAAAGGCTGCAACACTTGAACTAATGAAAACAACAAGCACTAAATCTTGTTGTGAGTTTTAGGAGAACTTTTCCTCAGAGCAAAGTGCAGAAAAAGTATATTTAAAAAAAACAATTATAATTTAGATAGAACAGATAGAACTACAAAGACTTTATTTGCAACGACCACCTTTCTGAATTACAGTATATATCTGTAAAAATGTCACCATGGGGTTGAAATAATTCATTTTCTGAATAAACAACATTTCTTGGTCTGTATGTTACTCTCCCTGGATAAATGTACGAAGGGATATTTAACAACACGAACACTTTAGTAGACTTATCCTGAACTGAGAAGTCCTTCCATTTTCACTTGGTGTGAGCGCCATCTTCTGGCACCAGTGTGTTTTTACATGGTAAAAACGGTATCCTGAAACATGAGTATGCAGTTGGGTTTTAATGAATTAGTTTAACTTTAATTTTTTTTCAGCTTGACTTCACTGACTTTACATAATTCCGTGTTGATTTAAATCTAGTGTGGATGTTACCCCAACCTCCTCCTGATAAGAACGTCTTTACAAATCATTATTTAATCTAAAGGTCAATAAATAAAAACTGCAGAGTTAAGCGCAATGAACAACAAGAATAGAGTAAATCAGTAAACTTGATGTCGACTTTTGACTAACACTGTTAATAAGTAACTGTCTGTCCATACTGCCGGAAAAAACAGGTTTATGAAGAATTTTACTTTACTCGTCGCGAAATCGATAACCCCCCCAAAATGAAAGTTTAATAATAATAATAATAATAATAAATTACATACAAAAATAAACGAATTAACCTTTAAAGTCAGCGACATTAGATGCTTAGACTGCATCTAATTAAAGGTTAAAGAAATGTTGGCCAATGTTAAAGCAGAAAAAGCTCGGATGTTATTAATATCACCGGTAATAGAACTCCAACATATCAGCTGCTCGGCAATACTAAGGCAGTGACGTCACATACTGGAACGCAGTCGCCAGTTGTGTTTCCTTTTTATAGGAAAGGTTTTTTTTTCGTACCTCTCAAATGTTCTTGATCAAAATTGTTTTAACATCAATTTATATGTAATAAATTTGTCCCCGTTTTTTTCTTTTTTTGCTTTTTTCTCTGAATACGTCATAGCTATATGTCTCCAAACTGTCAGTGAAGTGACACAAAATCTCTTCATATCACAGATAATTTATTTCATTTTTTAAATTTCGAGATAAGCTCATTTTACAAACTATAACAAACAATTATAACAATACATCACAGCATGTTTTTACAACGGTACAATTAAATCTTAAGATGTTTCAGACACTTATGGGAAAGCACACCTTGGGAAAAGTGTAAATGAAAAAAACTACAATTCCCGGAATATTTACGCCACCCTCTGTGGGTGCGGGTAATGGAATGCGAAAACCACATTATTGTGGTGCGTTCCATAAAACTGGGAAGTCCGAAATTTCAACAAATTTTAACATATATGTTAAACAGGAAGAACACATAGTAAAGCCGAACGTGAGCACAACGTGATGACGTAATTAAAACGTAGGATTTTTCAAACCACCTGATTGGGTTGGGGGAAAACCCCTCCATTGGAGTACTGTTTGTGTTGTTTGTGTGTTTAACTGGTTCTAAACAAACACGTTAGAGAAACAGCAGTTTGGAATACGTTGCATACGTGGTATGTAAGTGTAACTCCCCTGGTTTGACATGTAAAAAGAACCGTTGTGTGATTATATCTGTGCGAAACTATTGACGTATAAGATATATGTAAATAACATAATAGATATGCAAATCCCGTAACAGCAACTTAGATGTTACGCACCAAAGACTGCCACAACATTTTTTTTCCAGGTTTGCCTATGTTTGCTTATGTTGTGCCCGACATAGTTAGAATAAGATAATTCTTCCACTGCTCCTACAATCCTGCCTGTGTTCACAGGAGTGCAGGGGAAAAGATAGAATGGGCGGAAGAATAAAGATACATTTCAAAGTTTGTTTTTCGGTTTAACACTGAAGGACAACAGCTACATTAGCTACTGAGTTACCTGGCTTAGTTATTTTGCTATTTGTCACAAAGACTCAAAGGAACTAGCCATGTTTGTTTTAACTATACCCAACATCACAAGGTTAAAGCATCAGTAAAGACAGAATTAATGGTTAAAGAAGAACACTAAAAGTTGGCTCTGGCATTCTTAAGCCAAAGGTGTTAGCCAAAAAAACTATTATAACACCCCATTTAGCCCAACAAAAAGCTAAGATTCAGCCATTTGTTTTAAAGTATAAATAAAAGTTTAATAAGATTGGCAACATTTTTTCTTAAACCACAATTCACATAGGCAAAAACTCCACATCAGTTGTAGTTTAACTTAACTATGGAGCGAAACTGCTGTTGCCTCCTCTGCATTCATCCTTATCAGAGAGCTTGTTTATTTTGCCTTTTTTGTTTCAAAGTTAATGTTTTAACACCAGACAGACGTTTCCTCACCACATCGGTCTGTTTGCACCCACCGTTCAAGGACAACAGAAAAAGTTACTCTGTACCCTCCCCTACACACAGACACAAGCGCGGTACAGTCTCAGGTTAGGTTTTTATTGGACGCACAGAAAGGATAACAATGACCACGTGCTGCTGTTTACAGACTTTCAAATATCAGGCGGGATTTTAGTGGTATTAAAATGCAAACCAAGTGACCAAAAGACACAATCTGAATTTGACAAGCTATCTTGTTTCTCTCCTGATCCAACATGGGGAATAACCAGTCGTCAGACCAGTTGAGTGGCTTCAGTTCATGCAGTGTTCCTGTTTCCACCAAAGAAAAGAAACTTCACCGCAGCACAGAGGGTAAGTGTTACTTTTCATTGTCGTATGACTCATAGATGAATTTCCCAGCTATTATTATTCTTCTAAACATTAGACATTTTAGGTGTTGTACAAAGCCCACTAATATATATATGTATATATATATATATATATATATATATACATATATATATATATATATATATATATGTATATATATATATATATATATACATATATATATACATATATGTAAATATATGTGTGTGTATATATGTATATATGTGTGTGTATATATGTGTGTGTATATATGTGCATAAATATATATATATGTTCATGCTTTCATAATTTAGTTCTTGTGCAGTTTTTGAAATAATGGAATGTGAATGTAAACAACATTTTCAAGAGATTAACTTAAGACAAAGTCTCTTGCGGGCAGGATGAGACTTGACATCCAGGGGATGAACAGCTCCTTTACACAAATATAACATTTTGTAACATTGGTTAACGTTATATGTGAAGGTTTTTGTAAAATATTTTGCTTCAGTATCTTTTCCCGTAGCCGTTAATGTTTTGGTTGAAATGCAACTTAGTTTCGTTTTTGTTTTTTTCTCGTGTGCTTTGTTCAAGTCAGACAGGAAATGCCTGTCACTCTGTTGAGCCCTGTGTGGCTGGGAGAGGTTAACAGAGGCCTCTGCTGATCTCATCCCTTTCCCAGGCTCCTGTGGAGTAATGGGAAAAGAAACAAAAAATGTTGAGAGTAGAAAAAGGAAACCACAGAATAAAAAACAATTTGGAAAAAAATAAACAGTGCTATCAGAACACTGAACATACAGTTAAGACACATCTGCCATGTGTTTGGCTGGATTTTCTTGCTTGATACTGATCAGTGGAAATTATTAGACTGCCGTTATCTATACATCATCATTCGAAAGAATGACTTGAAGACTATGTTTTTTTTCAGCCATATCAGTCAAATGTTTAGTTAGCAGGAGCACTTTTTATGTTTCCTAAATTTTATCTTTAGTGTCTGAAAACTAATTTACAACTGTTTCTACTTGAAAAAGGGAAATTTTGATTAATTTCAAAGGAAATTTAATTGTACAAATTATGTGTCATTTCTAAATATATTTGTATGTATAGTGTTAGTTTGGAAATGTCACAGTTCTATTGTTTTATGGTAATTAATATTAATTTGAACCTATTGTGACAGTGTTTTATTCATTGCTGTGGAAAATAGAACATTTAAATATATACGACTTTACTTATGTTGGTTGAATTGAAGCACATTTCTTAGTCCCTTATTTACACTCTATACTGGAGTATCATTTTACAGCCCTTTCAATGCCTAAAGCAATTGAAAAAACTTTCCGATTATAACAGTGTGTCTTATTATATAGCCACGAGGTGGCGCCACTAAATTACTCTGATTCGTCAAAGCGTGGGCTGGGCAGGAGAGACCTCACTGCGGCTCAGATGCTCTGACTGTGGCAGACACAGTGAGGATGAGTTCATTGGATGGCTGCAGCCCAGCTGAGCTCTTTAATCATTTCCCTTCCAAGGCTGCGTAGGATTAAGTCACAAATCAGTGACATTGTTTCCATCCGAACGTTCACCGTCCAAATGTAAACCCCGTGTCTGTAAGGCAACATGACGTGGGCTTCACTGGCAGTGGCTGCTTACATCTCTGTTGCCCGAAGCAACAGGTGCGGTTGTGTAATGGTTGTCCAACTCCTGCTCCTATTTTTGATGTTGCTGCTGCCGCAGGGTCCGACTTTGAAGAGAGCTGCTGCTCATTATATATGTTTTATGCATGTCAGAACTCTATATCCGTGTTGTCTGGCTCTCACTTCTTGAACCGTGATGTCAGCAGAGGAACCCGATAGCATCAGACACGCTGGTTGTAAAAAAAAAAAAAGAGACTGAGTGAAGGGTAGTTGCCGGGAAAATTGAGAGAATTGAATTTCAGCTCAGACTTGACCTTTTAACAAGGTCCGTCGTCACCACGGATCACCAGGTGTTGTCTTTGTTTCCCATTGAATTAGTGCCATTTTGAAACTAACGATCCAAAATGTACATCTGTATATATATATGATTCTGATTTGTATCTGCATAGGTGTTTAGGTGCAGTTGATCCAGATCCAGGGTCTTATACTGAAATTGGGGATCATGAGGGAAGGAATCACACAGCAGTTAAAGTCTTTAATATGGTAGTCAGTCAGTAAAATTTACACATGCAAAATTGCAACAATATGTTTTCTCAGTTGCCAAATCAATAAAAGTATAATTGAAAGGAAAGCTGTCCTGACCCGGCGATAAACCCAACTCTGTCTCAGTTTGATTTGACTGTGTTGCAGCCAAGGTTTCATTTCTAAATTAGTTTAAAAAATAAAGACATAAACTCTTTGTTGGTTTATCCCATAAATAGAGGCTTACAAAAAAACTCACATTTTAGTGTTTCTTTTTTTTTTTGTTACGAAAATTAATTTCCCCTTAAAGGACCGTAGGGAAACCTGACTTTGATTTTTTAAAGGTGTATAAATCCTAGTGATAGTGTGAGAAACTAAGAGATGGAGAGAGAGTGACCTTGGCCACATCTTCATGCATGAAGCTCCTGGGTGACATGAAAGGAGGTAGTTAAACATTCAGGACTGTCTTAATTATTCAAGACTGCCAGACTGTGTGTGAGTGTGTGTCTGTGAGTGCGTGTATTTATGTATGCATGTAACCCCTCCAGCAAAAACAGTGACGGATACATTCGCACTACTGCTAATGTTTGCTGGTTGTGTTTTAATTGTTATTAATTGTCTTTACAGACAGGCGGGTCAGTGAGTGTCCTCGCAGTTGCCATGCATTTTTAATGTTGATTTAAATTTTACAAATAGGTCATGGCAGTTCAGGCTCTATTCTTGTCCACACTTGAGATCATTTAGCTCTTGGAGCAATACATTTTCCGCACGGTGAAAGAGCAGTTAGGGCTCTGCATTACAGCAAGAAGATCAAGGTGGTTTGATTCCCAGTTTTTCTGTGTGGCGTTTACATGTTCTCCCAGTATTTTCTTCAGGTTCCACAGTACATACAAATTGGCAAAAGCAGGTTATTTGTTCATTTTGACCTCAAATTGACCTTAGAGTACAGTGTTGCCAGATTTAGAACCTTGACATATTGTAGCAGTGACCTTACATTATTGTACTTTGAGGAAATCTTACACAACAAAAGTACACTCAGACGAGGCTCATATATGTCATATATTTATGTCATATGTTTAGACTTTTGTGTGTGTAGTGGCTGCCCTATCTTACACAACAAAAGTACACTCAGACGAGGCTCATATGTGTCATATATTTATGTCAGTTTTCCGTGTGCATTTTATATACATTTACATTCATGCAGGGTTCTCTCCTGAAATGGGGAGAGCACTTTTAGTCTGCCTTTGAACACTACTTAGCAACCAGATGGCTACATCCATTCCTCATACATGGTCTGAAGGTTTTTTGGACCAAAATCTTGCTTCATAAATGCACCAGGCAGCAGCATAGATCTGAGTGTCAGGAGCTATTATCTGTCTCCATTTTCAGAAAATGAACTAAATAAGTGTGAAGTTTTTACACTGTTACAGGTTGAGCTGTTAGAATTTAACAGTGGTGGAATTTGACAGCCGTCTAAGCCTTATTTTTAGTGTGAGAGCATAAAAAGTGCTCTCCATCTCCCATTAACTGTGATGAATAGAGTCAGTCATCTGATCGCATCTGAAGTGTGTGCAGCCTGAAGGCTGGCAGCAGACGACTCACCTCCTTATCACAATCCTGCCATCGCAGTTCCCTCCGCCTGTGAAGTTGCTGCTCAATAACATGAGGCTGATCCTGTGTCCTCTCTGCGACTTTGGCTTCCCCTATAACTGTTGTTGGATGTTACCCATGTCTTATGTGTGGAAACACCTGATAAGGCATTTATAATGACAGGAGAACAATTGTTGACAAAGGCAGCTCGTGAATCAGAGCCAAATTGTCTGTCCTATAACCTATCACTGCCGGTTGTCAGCGTTTCGCAACATCCCGAAAATTCCAGTTGAGAAAAACACACTGCAGTGTGTTAGGGATTTGGTCATTGGAATCGCAGCATGTTGGTCCCCCTGTATTGCTTCTTATAGCTAACAGCCCTTTGACATATTAGATACACTTTAAGAAAGGAAGTTCTCATATTTACAATGCCCAGAAATAGCCCTGTCAGCCAGCACTGTCACTATATCAGTGTCCTGTCCAAAGCTGGGCCCCTGCAAGAGTTTCCCACACGTGTCACAGGCCAATGTCATGACAAGGGCCAGAGAATGGGAAGGAGTAAAGATTAACTTTGATGAGAGAGCACAACAGAATGAGTTTGATAAGCAGATGCTCACAGGTCCGTGTTTGAGAGCGACGGGGTTTAGTGGAAGAGCACGTCTGCTGGTCAGGGGACACGGGGAACGTGAAAAAGTGTCGCAGATGCATGGAAGCACTCAGTGGTGTGTCTGTGAAACCGACCCCCATGTTTCCCCCCTTCATATCAAATGTTATGTAACGGGGCGCCCACGGCTTTTTTCTTTCTTCTGATGCCCAGAGGAGAGAGTCCTATTGCAGGATTGTAAATTCTACCTGTTGCCGCGCCTGGTTGTTTATCTGTTTCAGCATGTAAGCTGCATACTGTACATTGTAGTGTCCCAAAGTGTCTTGACCTGAGCTCGACTTACAGAGTTCCCACCGACTCACGTCCTTCCTTGACACTTGTCTTTGATGTCTGGTATGCGGTGCCATCTATGAAGCCAGGCTTCAGATAGCGGCGTGGGTCTGATCCGAGCTAACTTGATTTTGATGGCGCTGGAATCAGCAGTGTTGTCGTAGCTCCTGCACATTCTAGATTAGCAGTTTCTATGACCACTTGTGTGAAAACTAGGTGATCTTACAGCCAGAAATTCACCAGTTTGTTCCCCACCTGGTCCGTTCCCAAATCTTTCTTTTGGAGATGCCCTCCCAGTGAAATCATGGCTCTGTACAATTCCCTCCCAC